TTTCATTTTCTTGACTATAGTTAGGCCTACTACGGGGCCGCCTCTCTTTCTATACATCGATCGATAGATACGTGGCAAGTCTGTCGTCTAAAATGGCATAGAAATCGCAAACAACAGGCCGGCATTAAACACGCAATACCCACAGCTAGAACGCTAAATAGTATCTGAAGCGCAACGATTCCCTCAAAGCGATTGGCGGTGGCGAGAATGGAAGGACAGAGATATAAGAACTTTCAACGAAAGCCGGTTAATAGCTGGAAGATCACACGTATACAGGGCGACGAAAGGACTGAGGAAGAAAGAGGAAGGGTACAACACTTTGGGAGATTGTACTATGCAGTCACGTAGTCTGGAAATGAATTTTATCTGCAAATGTTCGATCGCTCGTAAACACGAAGATAAATAGTACAAAGTCCCGGAGTTTTAGACCCCATGTTTCATCACCCTGTATAAAATGTTGTCTTCCCGTGACACGAAATCGCCGATACGAGATTACATTTAAGGATTGTAGCCCCGATACTTACCGTGCTAGTCTCAGCAATGGTTTTGTTCGGCGCGGCATCCAGAGTATTCGCTTGGTTCATGTCTGGTATGATGTCGTCGGTTCCTTCGACCTGAGTAAACACAAGTACGGTGTTACTTTTCAATAATAATTGGAAAATCAATCTGTTTATTCGAGGCAATCTCCAATTCTAAAATCTAATTGAAACTTGGTTATTTCGACGCTGAAATAACACCACTTGTTACTTTGTATTACTTTATGGGGATAATTCTCAAGTTGTTTCGATCAACTTACATTTCGAGCAACAGACTCCTCCCCGTGATGATGCCTGTGGGGATGCTCCGGACTGTTTCCTCTCGGAAGATTCGGTTCCGGTACGAAGGTTGGCAGCACTTGCGAATCATCGCCGTCCTCGGCGTCTTCCTCTTCGTATTCACCGTCGTCGTAATTATCGTCGTAACCGCCATAGTCCTCTGGATTACTGTAGTCCCCGGAGCCGGCCTCCCTTCTGTTCCTCAATAAGGAACTCGACTCCGTTTTCACGCGCCACAACAGCACCGGAAGTTGCATCACCTCGGCCAGCGTGCCGTCTCTCGCTTGCTCGCGCAGTCGTTTCACCAAATCCGATTGATGATACCATAAATGTCCGTCACAGCCAACCTGCGTGAAAAATCGAGTCTGAAATGTTTCCGATGCCTTCCGCATTCCAAATAGATTGATAATCGCTTCGTTTGCATTATTCGACATTTCCAATGTCGGGAACAAAGAACTTTGAGATTTCAGATTCCCTTAGGTGTGTAAGATGAATTATTGCTGAAGAGTATATTTTAAAGAGATTTACCTGCCATTGTATCGAGGTGAGGTGTTTCTCTTTACGGTGTTTCACGTTCCCAGGCCCACTGAGAATGACCGTGGGGTCCACGTTCGAGTTCTCTTTCGTGTTTTGCGGGTGCATCGAAAACGCGCTCTAAAATTAGTACCGTAATTAGATCGGTATGCGCTAGAAGTCGAGCTTTACGCGACAAATACGGAAATCGATAAAAACACAGAAATCGTTTAGCAGTTGGTCCGAATGAAATTGATGAGCAGTTGGTCAAATAACGTGGACAATGAAAGAAAAATGATACACTTCCGCCAATAGAATTCAATTGTGGGATTGATAATCCTCGCGAAGACCAACCACTGAAGTCTCTATTAAAAAGAGATACCATATTTAACCATTTGGAAGCCCATCTCTGAACCGAATGAACAAAAACTATCCAATAGTTAGCAATAATTTCCATTCGAGTCGATCGATAAGGTTTCCCACTCGTCCCGTCCCCGATTCTTGAATTAACGACGATACTGGAAAAGCTCAATTGCGAGGCAACACGAAGGAACTGGTGAAACGCTCTAATTCCATGCGCGCAGGCGCGGAGTAACACCCACCATGACCAAGAAGATTTGATAAAGTTCCTTTTCCCGGAAGGACACGAGTTTCTTTACGAGACGGAACTTTTACGATGTCGCTGGCGAGCAGCGATGAAAGATGCAACGCGATCTCGGCACAATGTGGGAAATTTTCAACTCGAAACGCGCAACGGGGCGCCCGCTAGAGCGTGCATACATTGGACTTGCTTTAGAAACCGACGTTCTTTCATCTCGCGGTGGAAATTCTTAATTAATTTATCGTGTCTCATCGACATGCGGAATTTTGTTTGTTCGTGTTAATAACCAAAAAGCGCCATACCAGATGAAGTCCAAGGAATCCAGCCAGATTATCGATGGTATTGACTCGCGTGAACGGCGAGAGGCTGTCGAACCTTGCATCGAGCAGGATCGAGAGTAGCGTCTGATCCTCTCCTTCGTTGCAGTGCGTCTGAAATCGGACAAGAGCAAGTTTTCCAGTGATGCGAATGATGCGAGTATATCGCAGAATTGACCTGTCGAAAGGGAATAAAGGGAATAAAGGGAATAGCAAGGAATCAGTGCCTACATCATTTCCTTCCCCGCACTCTTTCAAAGTCCGACGTGTAGAATAATTTAGCTTGGTCTGCTGAAGGATTCGTATTCTTTAAAGAATCCTCGGCCGCAAAGGGTTAAGGCCGTCGGCGTCGTCGCACGGACCAAACGGATCGCGGATGACGCATGCCGAGCGAGAGCGGCTCTCCATCAATTGGTATCAATCAGCACCGTCTACGAAACTAATTCCGTCGCGGGATTTAAACGCGGCATACCGATGCAATCGCTGCAACGCACGCGGCCACGGTTTCGTTAACTCGTTCCCTCGTTTTATTCCCCTTCTTCGAGCCTGTTTTTCCGTCCCAATCGACCGACGCTTATCGTTCACACTCCAACACCTGCTTCGTTCTCATTTCTTTCACCTTTTTGTCATTTGTTCTTGCGTTTTTCTTTTATCTTATTTTATTTCATTTTAAGGGGGAGCTCGAAGCTACGCGATTTAATATTTTATTTTCGATTGCATTTACAATTGGAATAAGGGCGTAAAAGGTAAGTGAACCGAGTTTGTTTGTGTACATTTTCCTCCCAATGTTGTTCACGAGTAAGTCGCAAGGTACGATTTCTGAATAATTTCAATGTTGTCGAATCGAAAAATTCGAAAAATTCGAAAAATTCGAAAAATTGTCGCAGAGATCGAGCACTGACCCAGCTAAAAATATCAGTATCTAACAGCAATGATTCAATCAGTTAACGCTTCACTTAACAACATCAATTAACCGCAATGGGGACGATTAATCGTTACACCGATTACACTGAAGCGCGATTCGATTACCGGCTCGATTATTGAAAATGTTCGCGGAAGATCGTTTCGATAAGGAAATTATTTCTATTATCGACGGAACGAGCAACGTACATATAGCGGCACGTTAATTAATCGGGCCATCCGAAAATCGACTTGAGAGCAATTAAAACGATCGTCAGTCGCGAGAAGTGCAAACGCGACGCCTTTTGTTTCCCGCCGTGGTGTGGCGAAGCACTCCCATCGAATCATCCAAGCGACTAATTGATTTATCGCTTCGTTAACGGACCACCGTTGGCCAACCGAATTTAAAAATGGCCGACAGGGGGCCTGGACTCGATAGTAGTCTTCTTAACCGACGATGAATCAGTCTATTAAGAAAGAAGCGAATTCCTCGGCGGTTAGTTCACGAATGTCCAAACACAAGAACCAAGGACGTTTTAGATCGGAGTTCAACCAAGGTATCAGTGATTGGGAATAGTGTGGAAGTTGGTAATTTTCGAAAGTGTAAGTGGAAATTTAGAAGCCGAATTTTCGTTCGTCGAGTCTCTTTTACTCGAAAACTCGATAAGACGCTACCACTGCGGATCGAAGATCTTTCGACTTGCTTCTCGATTCGATCCATCTAGGTTCGACTCTGTACTTCTATACTTCTGAAACGTTCTATACGAATCTAAAAAGTATGCGAGCTTAGTGGACGGCGGAGAAAAAGGGTCGAATTCAACAAGAGGTTAGCAGTCGGTTCAGATTAATCCAGAAAGGGTCGAGTCAGAGTACCTGTTGTTCGCTTGGGAAACATTTGAACCGTTGCCAACGGAATGTTTTCACCGCTAACGGCGAGCTATCTCTGCTCGTACGGGATGAGATAAGAACCTCACCTTTCCGTCTCTGTGCTTCAGTTCCTCGTGCTTCTCGGGAACGATTTGCACGATGAAGAGGTCCTTCGCGGTGTCGCCGTGCTTCCCGATAGCCTTCACGCTCAGATGATGGCTGCCCGTGTCCTTTTTCGACGGCACGCCCATCAGCGTCGACGCGGCGTCGTCCCAATACATCCATCGTGGCAGTTGGCTTCCGTTCGCATCGAACACCTATTCTCGGAGACGGTCAAAGGGAAATGAGAAACAGATGAATTCACGACGTCAAGGAGAATTGCAGGCTGAAATGTTCGAACATGAAAACGGTGAAATGTACATGTACGCAGAGTGCCGTTGTACGCGAAGCGAAAAAGCTGGTTTGTAGGTGAAGGATAAGTATTAGATAAGTATTAGATAGGTTTCAAGGGGTAGGCAATACTAATTTTCAAAGCGGTACTCCTATTTCTCCGTTGAGCGGTGGGTACTTGTTAAAAGTAACGTGCAACTTGTAAACGAATAATAACTAGAGGAAAGGAAAGAAGTGTTTCCAGCGAATCCATTAGTCGTAAAAGATTCAGTTTGCGGTGTGCAGAAGCTGAGGAAATGTAAGGGAGATGCTATTCCGATACTCGAATTGCTGCCCGATGCACGGTAGCAAGTTAAAACCTAGTCTGGAACGTGTAAAAGCGAAACGGTTTCCTGTTACGCCGCGGAGGCGACCAAGGCAAATTGAATCACGAATATAGATTCCTGACAATGTTGGTACCGCCGACAAAAGGAGGCAAATGAAAGACAGGGGAATACGTGCGTCCCGAGAGGCAAGGATCAACCTATGAAATTTGGCAGCAATCCAAAATTCGTCCGAGACGGAACCGTGGAATTTTCGCAGCCGTTCTCGCCTCGCTCCGTCGTCGTTCGACAAATTGGGGTGCATCGAACTAATCGTTGTTCCCCGTCACCTCTCTTGCCTTCTCGATTTTTCCGGCTCGATCAAGTCCGGAATAACACTGAACTTTTACAGAGAATATTTCAATGTATGGAAAATATCTTTTTTCAATGCGTGTTGTTGGAAATTTCTCCTTGCTGGTTCATCTTTGTTTCCGTTGAATCCGATCGAAATGAAAATTTGATCAACCTTTATCGCACAATCCATACAATAGAATTCTAATTCTTTTGGAATGTTCAAGATGGGCTCGTATACCGCGAGCGGCAAGTGTTCCCTAGAGTGTACAGAGTGAGCAGAAACAGGGAGTTATAAAGTGTGCGCAGAGATCCCGTAGATTCATTTTCCAGATAAGGTTTCGAGAAGTTCTTAAGATAAGGAAACCAATCTTTCGACTCGCTATCGCGTAACAGGATTTCACAAGATAAACCGCTCGTGCCAACTATTCCAACCTTTCGACGAAAAGGAAGCTTGCTTTAGTTTCTTTGGAACATTGTTCCTTGCATCTGACTATTAAGAAAATACACCCTACGAAATTAGAAACGCGCATGCATCCTCGGTCTAGCGATAAATATGTACAAAGACCTGCGGACAGCACGAACAACAAAGATAAAAATCTGTGTTTGTCGATGTGGGTAGGAGATTTCGAAAAACAAAGGAACGCGGTAGGAGCAGGCGGAGAAAAAAATCGACGAGAGTGTACGGGTTCGCTACACGGTTGTTGGCTGGCGTCCAAGAGTCGAGTAGGAGGAGTACGATCCTACAGGAAAAGAAAAGAAGAAAAAATAGAAAAAGAAGATGTACGAAAAGAGAATGAAGAACAGTTGAAGAAGAAGGGGCAGAAGAAGTAGCAGCGGTACAAGTTGAAGATGATGACGATGATGATTATGACGACGACGACAGAGAAAGGGAGGGGGAGAGAGAGAGAGAGGTTTCTTCACCTCATAATAATCCACAGGACCGGCAAACGCCTGCCGAGGGATCCTCAGCTTGAGTACGTGGCCGACGGGTACGACGACATCGGGAACGCCCCAGAGCCTCTCGACCTGGTACCTCTTGACATCGCGGGGCCAATTCTGCTCGTGCCAGCTGGTCCTCGGCTCGTCGAACTGCCGACTGTTGATCACCGTCGCTGCGGTGCTGGTACTCTCTTCGCCGACGTCATCGAACACCAGATCGTCCTCTTGTAGGGTCAGTCCAAGAGCCAGAGGCAGTAAGAAGCACGCGAGGCCGTACCGATTCTTCATCTTTCTGAGGCGACTATCTCGAGCTCTGCTATCATATCATGCTGACGAGCCTGAAACCAACAGAAACGCGTCGGGTTAGCTAGCGTATCGAGCAATTTGCAATTATCGTCTAGTTTTCTTTCGACTCGACGTCAGGTCTTTGCGGCGATCAAACGTACAAGAATATTCTCTAATATGGTGAAAGCGATAAAGGTCGTATTATTCCCGCAGTAGCTTGATTCGAGAAAACTTGAATGAAAAGTAACGAATAAGTGAAATAAATGTTGGATTAAGCGATTCAGTGTCACCGCTACGGTCAAGGCGAGGATAAAATAGGGTAAGGGCCGTAAGCTGCATAGCTTATGTGGCACAGCGCTGGGAACTGTAGTTGAAAGAGGGAATCGATAGGGAAGAAGCAGAAGAATAATCCGTGTGGCTCGATACCGTTCGACGAACAGAGCACGTCTCGCTCAGGCGGACTTAAAAATAATAATGATAACGACTGTCTGCTACGATACATTGGATCGTGTGTAGAGCCGGCGACGATGCTCGACGATGCTCGACGATGCTCGACGATGCGTGCCACGTTCGGTTGCTCATTAAATACTGTCACGTGTCGTCGGATCAGATATGAACGCGTCCGTGTTCGACGGAGGAAATACGGTGTCGAAGATAATCAAGATAGAGAGGATCGCCGACAAGGAATTGTCATCGTTACACCGTGTCCTGTGCCTGGTTTCGAGAGAACCGCACAACCGAAACTATCGAGAATCGTCGAATGCGGTTCAATAGCTGAATAGAAATCTGTACAAGTAGATACTTGCGTAAACGCTAGTGTCCGACCACGACTGGCTCTTTCTACTTTTCTACCGCGATGGGTGCGCGTTCAGCAAACTCTCAGACCCGATTATCCCGGAAACAAAGGTCTCCGTTGGAAAATGTTCTTCCATGTCTTCCGCGCTATCGAATTCACTTTAAATAATACAAATGAAACCGAAAACTGTAGGATTTGTGGTAGCGATTGCTGTGACAATTTCCTTCCTTCAACTACGTTCCAACAAAATGTACAGTCTGCTGCTGCTGCACAAGACAGTCGTGTCAACTTGCAAACTGTAAAATAGCTTACCCTCGCAAGACGACGCGATTGTCGTCGCCGTGGAGCTTTAAAAACAATGGGAATCGTTTTCGGGAGAAGGAGTGGGAACACGCAGGGTATTCAGCATCAGCCAGCCACCGATGGCCAATAAAAGCTTCCATTGCGTTCTTATTTCCTCTTGTTGTTCGGGTCCGTCGAGGACCTCGGGCCATTAATTGCCGGAGCTGGGCGATCAGAAGCTCCACTGTTAACTTGAGGTGGTCGATGCTTTCATGAAGAGGGAGGGGTGTCGGAGAGGGAGAGAGATCGGCACGGATTCGCCAGCATCGCTTTCATTAAAGGAAATTCAGCACGAGAAAGACTCGATACCGTGGTCCACTGCAGCGGGCCTGTGGCGTACTTGCTCTACCGACGAATCAAATGCTTCGCAATTTCTTCTCTAGCTTTCTCTTCCGACCGATTCTTTCCCTTCCTCGGTAGGCCGTTCTTGAATCACCCTCTAGATACTCTATTCGTAGCTCCCCCGCGGGAATTCGTTCTTATGAAGCTCGATTGTAGGGATGTCCGGTGACATGGAAATTGTTTTAGTCGATTAAAGGATCTGGCTGAATTTCAACGAGTATAAAGTCATTTGTTGAATTCGATCGATGCGCGATATATTGTTCGGGTGCTCGAATAGTTTGAAACGAAAAACGAACATTGCTTGCACCGTGATCCAGGTCGTTCCACTCGTGACACCGTTCCACGGTAACAGCATTACGAGTTCGTCTCGCTTTCCGTAAAAGATCAAAGGACAAAAACCGAAATGTTGTTTCGAGACGCGTGTTGCATTGTGCGCGGTATTCGTGCGACCCACATACGTACTTGTGATCCACCGTTGACAGTTATCGCCGAGCGATAAATGCAATTTTACGAGTGCCAGCGTGGCTCCGTAACAATACGACCATTGCTACTTAGCCCTGACCTAGGAGGCTACGCGATAAGAACATTGAAGCGGTTCATTGGATTCTTCCATATTGCAACACTCCGAGTTACTATCCGATAGCGTTCCGCTGTCAGAGTTGTTTACATTTACGGATTTTTCAGAGAATTTCTCGTATAAAAGTCGCAGTGGACATTTACGAAAGAGAACACAGAAGTTGCAATAAACTCAAGTTGGCCAACAGACAACATTATGCATTCGGTTCGCTGATAACGCAGGAGTACAGGCCAGTAATAATAAACTACATACCGTCCAGCTACAGTGGCCTTTTAAGCTCTGCGAATATATAGGAAAACTTTGAGGTGCGCAAACGAGAAACCTTGCAGTACAGAAGGGAGGAATAAAATGTTCGGTTCAGGAGCAGGCTTGGAAATTGGTAAAAATGAACGACTGTAACTCGACTACACGGAATATTGATAGGACTCGACGCCGATGTGACCCGATCTGTAAATAAAGTTACAGAAAAGGAGAGAAAGATGCAAGGAACACCTTGAACAATCGATTAAAGGTTTCGAAAGGATTCGGATGGTTCGAGTGCGAGCAAAGCTCCGTGAAATGTGAAAACTGAATGGCAGCAGTATCTCCTTAGTAAAATGGCAAAAGCGTTGCGCTACGGGGGCGAGACGAATCGGCGAATCACGATCGCGCGAACGACGCGTCGAGCGTGTGACCCTCACGCGGGTATAAATTATACATCTTTACGGCTGCGCTAGAATCCCGTCCGAGGAATAGAGGTCCGGGCTAAGCGGCGTACAAAACGAGTTACAGGCTAATCGAAAGGAGGGCGACGCAATTTACTGGCCACTTCTAGGAAACGCCGAAGACGGCCAACGGTACAGAAAGACTCGTAGGTGGAAACAATTGAGTTTGCGTCCGCGTTTACGTATATACGTCCGCGAGACGGATTTTAATGCTGCCCACCGTGACGCGTAACCCACGAGTAAACGGCGTCGCGATTTGATTTACGTGGGAAACCGTAAATTGGCGCGTTCTATTGTCTCTGCGATTGTTCTTGAAACTTGCCAGTGTTTCCGCTTCGTATCGAACTTGTTGTAATTTCTCTCTTTTCTCTTTGCGTGCGCATAGGATGCTCGATACAACCTAGGTGGAATATAGCGAATGACCAAGAGTTCGGTTTGCCGCGAAACTTTCTCCAATAATTCGATCAAAGTTGATTTTTCACTGATAGAGTAACATGGTGCTTAAAAGAAAACGACGGAATCGGATGCATCTGCGAGTTGAAATCGGCCGGGGACATTGAGTTTTCACTGACTCTAATTCGAGTCTTGCCGTGGAATCGAATGGAAATCGATCCGACCAAAGTACAATAATAATTACTAAAAGTAAAACTGTTTACTTGCAGACTGGAAAAGAAACCATCGAGTCTCGATGATAATTCATTGAACCAGTGACAGTCGACCCCACGATAGAGAGCATAGCGCTGGGAGTCGTTGGTCGCCAAGGGTTAAGAACGCTCTCGAGTGGCAGTCTGAGAGTGGGCCGCCTGTCCCCATACGCGCTCAAGAGAGCTACCTAGGGTTTCAGAGTTGGAATATCGAGAGACCGACTGGAAGGAATCTGCCTGTACTATCGACGATCGCCTCGCGTGTCAACTACCTCGGTCGCGGCGTCTTTGTCGCGATGGAAAGAAGAAACAAACAAATAAACGGACGAACAGGCAACAGGCAATAGGCGACAGGCGAGTTTGATCCACGCGCGTGAATGCGCGACAGGTGCGACGATCGGCGCGGCGACAGTCAGGTGCCTACCGTTCGCATGCGGACGAGCAATTCTTGATGCCTTCTTCAAGATTCCACGGCTCTTTGGATTTTCTGCAAGTTTATGGATCGAAGCGACAGTGCAGTCATCAATTGTTCAGGAAATTTAGTAGAATTTCAAGTGAAAATCCAAGGAAACTCACGCACACGATTTCAACGTTGTTGAACGCGATTTCTGCACGACGATCACAGCAACAAGATAGAAATCACACACGCGTGGTTCGACTGTCGCAAAGAAACCAATCGAGACTGTTGCGATTCGCGTATCCGACAATTGGTTAAGTACCCGAAGAAATTTGAGTCAGCCTCTTTTCGTCTTTTACCGTAGAATTACTCAGCCGTGACTAACGCAAGATCGCGTGTAAAGGTGTGAAGCGAGAGTGTTTATCCCGCAAAGTCTTTTGTGTATTCAAAAGCGACCGCTGCGCTGTCGCGGCAGACCAGCGTTATCCGTATACAACAAATAATACTAAAACGGACGGACAATTAAGAAAATGTTCTCGACGACATACCCCAGATGCTGAGCTAGGAATAAATGACAATTGTGCATTCAGAATTCAGACTCGTTAACTCGGTTCTACCTACTGCAAATTCTAAACGAGTTACACGATACATTCAGCGAATCTTTGTTAAATAGGAGAAAAGCTTGTTCAAGTAGGCCACAGTCTAGATGAGAAATCTAGAAGTAATGAAAATTACACGTAGCATTTGAAATTTTATCTTATTTTATTCTGTTGCTTCTAATGAACTTGATTCGATCGACTGCGATAGACGAATTCAAAGACATTCATTGTTGTAACGTTTGTGTGGGAAAAAAGCCTTTAAAGCTTCGTCACAGGCCAGACCGCGGTGACGCCATCACGGCTGCTCCCCCAGGGACGGCGAGTGACTGTCGGCGCGAAGCAAAGCCTACATAAATGTGTGTAGGTAGGTACATAATATATATATACCTTAAATATCATATTTTACGTGAACGTGTCAGTGGGAGGGGCAATAAATTTTAAAAAAAATAAAAGGAAAGATATTTTCTTCTTATTTTACTACATTACTCCATCAAAGGTTAACATTTTTCAGCTCCTCTTTCTTCTACGTACTCCAAGATACAATGAATTCCTTCGTCCGTTAATGTAGACTCGACACAAATGTAGAATGTTCCACTGTCTTTCCTCGTCCACAGCTTCCTGCTCCGATTCCGAATGTTATTTTCGAGGCTGG